TTTTTTTTTTTTTTGAGACAGAGTCTTACTATGTTGCCCTCAGTAGAGTGCCGTGGCATCGTAGCTCATGAGCAACCTCAAATTCTTGGGCTTAAGCGATTCTCTGCCTCAGCCTTCTGAGTAGCTGGGGCTACAGGTGCCCACCACAACACCTGGCTTTTTTGTTTGTTTGCAGTTTTGGCCAGGGCCAGGCTTGAACCCACAACCCCTGGTATGTGGGGCCCGCACCCTACTCCTTGAGCCACAGGCACTGCCCTGGCTATTTTTTTCTTGTTGCAGTTGTCATTGTTACTTAGCAGGCCTGGGCTGGGTTTGAACCCGCCAGACCTGGTGTATGTGGCCGTCGCCCTAACCACTGAGCTATGGGTGTTGAGCCAGAATCTTTAGTTTCTTATTGAAAATTTTAATTATATAGATCTGTGCTGTCCAATATGAAAAGGTACTAGCCATATGTGGCAATTTAAATTTAAATTAATTCAAAGTGAATACAGTTTAAAAATATAGTTCTTTAGTTCCACTAGCCACATTTCCAGTGCTCAACAGCCACACAGAGTTAGTGACTACCATATTGTACAGATATAAAATATTTCCATCACTGCAGAAAATTCTGTTGGATAGCACTAACATAGATAATTTAAAATGTTTTGAGAAGAAATCTTTACCACCTGAAATTTAAAACTCTTACCCTCTGTTGTTAAACTGTTGGCATATAAAACTGGCTAAGAAAAAATTTTTTTCTAGAGATGGTAATTAGAAGATGAGACAACCATTTGTTCTCTATACTAGCTTATTGACATTTCTAGAATATTCAAGATGTCATTATTAGTAAGTTATCAATTATGCCTTGCTTTCATGTAAACAAAGGTGTTTGTAAAGAATATAGCTTCTTAAAAGAAATAACAGTGCATTTTTTGGCCTTAAGATCATTCAAATTCTATTATTAAAGCTAGTTAAAAATGATGCATGTTTTAGATGATTCTGCTACTAGAAGCAACAGATACCAAAATCTCTGTATCAAATAAGTTGATTCAAAATAATAGATGCTAAAAAGTATACTCATTTTACAAATACTTTTGAAATATTAACAAAATATTATTTCCTGACCACAACAGGGAGATTAAAACAACTATGTGTTTAATACGAGTTATCAAAATTTTAGATAGGGCAGCCTATGAGTCTAAACCTGGAATATATATTTCCCTTTACCATAATAAAATAGACCTTTAACATCAAACTGTGTGCTTTGTTATGATCAAGTAACAGATCCCTGTGCTGTTACAAAGCATAAAAATAATTTAAAATCCATTTTCAAATTATACCTTGAATTTACTTTGACACAGCGGTGAGTCCTGCATTTTAGATACCACAGTAGAAGAAATGATCAAATCTTTAACAAACTGCAGATAAATAAATTGCAGGAGCTTTCTGAAATTCAGTTGCTTTTATTTCAATGACTTGTCGCCAAAACAAACAAAAACAAAATAAAGGCAATGTCCTTACGGGTGAGAAGGATCTGGTGTTTGAATAGACTTACTGATGCCCAATGCTAGTAAACCCTATGGAGAAGAAGGAAAAAAGGTAAATCATCATTAGTAAGACACAATGTGGTAAAGCCAAGTGGGGGGCGGGGGGAAGCTGACAATGACAAGGAAACACTTAACAATATGCATGTCTGACGGCCCAGCAATTCTGGTTTCTAGTACTTACCTTAGAAAAGTAAAGATGAACCCAAAGGGGCTCAAAACACTATTGTTTATAAAGATAAAAAACATGGAGACAACATAAATATCCACCAATTGGGAATGGTAAAATCAATGATAAGCCTTAAACTATTTCTACAGCAGTTTAAAAGAAAGGAATTAGGGTAGAGTTTTCTGTATTGACATGAATAAAGCTTTCAGACACACCAGTGAGTGGAGGAGAGAACAATATGTATGGTACAGAGCAATCTGTACTTTATAGTTTTTGTAAACTACATATAATGGAAAGCACAGGAAAATGTCTGGAAGACACACACTGAACTATGTTTTTATCTGTGAAGAGAGAAGCAGGATTAAGGTGGTCTGTCATCTGATTCTTATGGGAAGAACAGCTGTACAAACAGGAGAGTAAACAGTTTCAACAGTGCATGTTGTATCTGGGCACATACAGATCTGCCCACTGAGTCTGTGACCTCGCCGCCATGGGCTCGTACACCGCAGCCGGGAACAGACAACATGGTGCAGCCGCGTCTCACAGCTGTGTTCACGTCGGCATGGGGCTGTGTCGTGCTGAGTGACGTTTATTATTGTTGTGTGTTTTTATGTGCTATCATAACAATGTCAGAGCTTGAATTAGAGCAATGAACTAACATTAAATTTCTTGTTAAACTTAGCAAGAGTAGAGTGAAATCAGGGACGTGTTAGTCCAAGTTCATGGGAATAAAATCCATGAAGAAAATGGCAGGTGCAAACTGGTTAAACACTGTTCTGAGGGGAAAGCATCACTGGTGAAGTCAGGGTGGGCAACAGTGAGCAGAACTGACAAAAACATGGCAAAATTCCCTCAAATAGTGCGCCACAATTGTTGGCTGGCTGTGAGAAGCACAGTGGACCATATAAACATTGATAGAAACACAGGGAAATCTTAACTGAACATCCTGGCATGAGATAGGCGTGTGCAAAAACGGTCCTGAAGGGATTCGGGTGAACAGAAGCAAAGGAGAGCCTACATTTGCTAAGACCTTTTGGAGAGGCAAAATGATGTTCTGGACAGATGTTCTGGACACTGGTGATGAAACACGGGTGTACCAACATGACCCTGAAACCGAGTGTTCCATGCACAATGGGAGTCAGACAATTCTCCAGGACCAAAAAGTTCCGTCCGTCCAAATCCAGTCAAAATGATGTTTCTAACCTTTCCTGGTATCAGAGGGGTGTTCATTATACATTTGTACCAGCTGGAAACTTAACCAAGTGTACTGTTTGGAAGTGCTGAAAAGGGTGCATGAAAAAGTTAGACAAAAATAACTGACGGCTCTCACATCAGGAAAATGCACCAGCTCACACAGCACGTCTGCGAGGGAGCTGTGAGCCAGGAAACAAACTAGCTGTATTCAAACACCCTCCCTACTCGCCTGATCTGGCCCTCAATATCTTTTTACTTTACCCAAAGATAAAGGAAATATTAAAAGAAAGACATTTGGATGACGTTTAGGACATCAAAGGTAATGTGATGACAGGTCTGATGGTCATTCCAGAAAGAGAGCTCCTGGCGTCAGCGCATCGCTTCCCAAAGGTGACCAGTGACGGCAATGAGGTATGTGGCACTTTTTCTAGCATCCTGAGTTTGTGAACTTGACTGTCCAAACGCATACATTTCTCCTAAAACTGCAAAAGCCGCACAGGAAGCACACACCACATTCCTTCCTTCCTTCCTCTGTCCCTTTCCTCGTTGCTCACTTGGCTTCATCTTTTCTTCCTTTCCTTCTTTCATTTCTATTTATTTGGTTTTTAAAATTTTATCCTTTGTTGAAGAGTTATCCACTGGAACCTCTCTGTATTAGTATGCTTGCCCTTTCTATTCTAATTTGATACGAATTTAGTAGATCATTAGAACTATTTAATACAAATACAAAGCCTCTGCATGAATCCCCTATGTGATTTCACTTGATTGATCTAGTTTTTTCCTTCCTTCAACATGATGCCAAATAATCAGACAGGCAAAGCTTCTAGATAATCCAATTATTCACAGATGAGGTTTCCCTGTGGGATGTAAGACATTCTATACAAACAATTTTTCCTAATAAAATATGCAGAGATTAAATCACCTTGAAAATATATACTGGATTTGTACATTCTGATATTGGAAACCTTACCCCAAATATGCAGATTCTAAGTGGCTTTCCACTGGATTCTACAGGAAAAAGGCAACTACCTAAACCATAGATGACTTTTCAGTGAATTAAACTAAGAAAATGAGAGCACATTAAAGGGAACATATCATTCTCTTAAACCTGAACATTCAAATTGAAATAGTCATTATTAATTCATAATATGTGTACGTGTATTAAGCATATATGTATACATGTATGCTTATATTTAAAAGCTACTTGATAAATATTCAAATTATCTCTAAAAACCTTAATATTCAGGTTGGCTGTGCAATTTACAGTTTATTTTACAAACTGAATTGGACCATATCTCTTAGTTCTTATAAAAAACATCACATAGCACTCATGTTCCACAAAGGTAGGACAGAATCACAGTTGCGTTTGATGTGTCTATGCAGACTGTTTTGCTCACTTAACACATATAAATATATGTTCAGTTATGTTTATATAACTTACAGAACATGTTTGGTTTTCAACAGAATAAGCATTAATGTCCGGTGGCTAAGAAGCATTATCAATGCAACCATTCCCTGATCACCTGCACCTATTTTGGTGTCCTGTTCTGGTGTTGTTCAGTATACATCCTATCGAGCAGCTGCTTAGGTGCCTTGAAAGCTCTATCTAGTTGTTTGATGTATGTATAAGCTACTTACAGAAGACAGAGAAAGAATTGTGTCTTCTTTTAAGACACTATCAATACACTGTGAACTTAGGTGTTCAGAAAATTCATGTGAGTTAATATAAAATGATGTGCTATGTTTTATTTAGTAAGTTTTCCAAAGTAAACTATCACAAAATTTGCATAACTAGGGACATGGGTCTAATTTAAAAATTAGAAGTCTGGCTTGGCGCCTGTGGCTCAAGTGGCTAAGGTGCCAGCCACATACACCTGAGCTGGCAGTTTTGAATCCAGCCCAGACCCACTGAACAACAATGACGGCTGCAACCTAAAAACAGCCGGGTGTTGTGGCGGGTGCCTATAGTCCCAGCTACTTGGGAGGCAGAGGCAGAACTGCTTGAGCCCAGGAGTTGGAAGTTGCTGTGAGCTGTGGTGCCATTGCACTCTACTCAGGGTGACAGCTTGAGGCTCTATCTCAAAAAACAAACAAACAATAAAAATAAAAATTAGGAGTCTTTTTATCTCTCAAGAAGTAAAGAAGGGTGGCACCTGTGGCTCAGTGAGTAGGGTGCTGGCCCATATACCAAGGGTGGCAGATTCGAACCCGGTCCTGGCCAAACTGCAACAACAACAACAACAAAAATAGCCAGTGCTGTGGCAGGCACCTGTAGTTCCAGCTACTTGGGAGGCTGAGGCAAGAGAACTGCCTAAGCCCAAGAGCTGGAGGTTTCTGTGAGCTGTGATGCCACAGCACTCTACCAAGGGCGACAAAGTGAGACTGTCTCTTAAAAAAAAAAAAAAAGGTGTAAATAAGTAAATCCTGAAAAGGTATTCTCTTAATATACCGCACTCTTTAAAAAGGCTTAGGTTTCTAGTATTCATAATTTGGTCTGAAGGGGGTTTAATTTTATAAATTTGTTTTTTTATTTGCAAATTCAAGGAAAGTAACTCAAACTACTAATATAAAAACATCTGAATCATTTACACGTGACTGCATCTTTTTTCAAAAAACTTAAATTCACTGGCTAGTACAGTCATTAAGAACTCATATCCAAAGACCAAACTTCCACTCAATATAAGCATCTTTTCCAAAAGCCTCTACCCAAGCATTTAGTGACTGATAATCTTACACTTTATACTTCATTGTTCGAAGTTCTTAAAGCTTAACAACCTCCTTTAAAATACCATGACTGTATTTCTTTGCATTTCATCACTGAAAAGTAAAACAATTTTCATTTACTTCCACACGCCAACTAAATGAATCAGTTTCTAAACAGGTCACCTTTTAGATTAAAGCCTATGCTTTTATCCTCACCTGATTACAAGTATCAGACAGTGAGTGTATAGCTTCTGAGAACATACTTGCTGAACCCGTATAAATCCAGGCAAGAAATTTAAAGAAACAGTTTAACCCATTGCTAGGAGAAAAAAGAGAAAACAATTTAGAGTAGGTTTGGATAAAAATTTCTACCAGAAGTTTATTTAATCAACTATATATACCTTTATACTTGATTCTATTAAAAATAAATTTAAAAGAATACTTAACCTTAAAAAACATTACTGTTTAGGTTACAAGACTACAAATTTGAAAAATATAGATTATATGAAAAACCATTCTATATGTAAACAAATTACTAAAGTGCATTTTAAAAACCAATGAGAAAAGAGTGTCCTATAATTGGACAAGATGATATTTAAAAAGAAATTCTGTGTTTTAGGCAGATAAAAGATCTGCCCTTAGCGGGGTCCAGCAGGCCAGTGTCAGTGGTAACATTGCGGTGAGGGTCTGTTTACTGAGGTAGGCAGATGCCCGAGGTAGGGACAAGATCTAGAACCAGCAAGTTTCAGGGTCATACTAGGAGACCAGAGATGCTAAAATAAAATGGTTAACCGTGAGGAAGCTGACTGCTCAGATTCCAACAGTAACGACTAACATCATTTACCTCGGGCGCGGTGCTAGTGATTTACCATGTTAAATGACAATTCCACTGTACAAATATTAACACTCTCATTTTATTTTTATTTTTTAATTTTTATTTATTATTTTTTGAGACGGAGCCTCAAGCTGTCCCCCTGGGTGAAGTACCGTGGCATCA